CCAAGATACATCATGTACAGGTACAAGCACCCAATGATAAATGTAAACGTATTATATACCTAAAATGTACCAATAAAAGAATTTTTTTTTTAAAATGGCTTTTTTTTTTTTTTTGAGACAAGGTCTTACTACGTAGCCCAGGCTGGCCTTACACTTGTGGTGATCCTTCTGCCTCAGCCTCCCCTGGGATTACAGGTATGTATTACCACACCTGTAATCCCAGGCTATCTAAACTTGGCTTTTTGTTGCAATGAGCCGAAAGCATCCTGATACAGAAATCATGAGATTTAGTAGATGCCCATTGAATGATATTTCTTTTGCGCAGCAGGAAGGCTGTTGTACATGCAAATCGTTATCCCTCCAGTTTATAGAAAAGAGCCCAGAAATTCAGCAGCTGTGATACTGAATCTGGTGCTCAATGTAGTTTTTTAAAAACTGTGTAGCTCCCTTACCCACTGTACTAATGAAGGAATAAAGGTCCACACACTGTGGCAATCTCTTGCTGAAGGGAGAACTTGCAAGAAGTCATAACAGCATTACTTGATAATATGGTTGGATTGTGACCCTCAAATATTCACCTGTTAACCTAGTCCCCAAACTTAAATGTTGATGGTGTTGGAGGTGATGCCTTTAAGAGGTGTTTAGGAGTCCGGGTGTGATGGCACATGCCCAGAGGCAGGAGGATTGAGGCATTTAGGAGGCTGAGGCAGGAGGATTGCTGTGAGTTCGAGGCTAGCCTAGGCTACACATAGTGTGACTCTGTCTCTCTCACACACACACACACACACACACACACGCTTATGAATGTTGTTTAGGGTTAGCTGAGGGCATGAGGTGTGAGCTTACACTTCCCACATGACACTCCTGTGTGTGCTTGCTGCAGAAAGAAGCCACCTTGATGTTATTGGGTAGCTTGCTTCTAAAAAGTGGCTCACCAACTAAATGTTACTGGGCTCGGGGTTGCTTCCCTCTCCTTCTGGAGTTGCAGTCCAGGTTCTTCTCATCTCAAACAAAGGAAAAAAA